CCCCCCCTTCCTGGGCAGAACAGGTTGTGTTGGGCTACCAGCACCAAAAATGTATGTCATGGTGCATTTGACCAAGGGATCCTGTGTAGTTCTAGGGAAGGGTTTGGGGGCTGAAGGGTTCTGAGGGCAGTAGGGTGGTGTAGGGCTTTGGGAGGCTGAGTTGCTCCCCCACCCTCCTTCAGTTTAGACCCCCACACTTCAAAATCTTGTGGAAAACCTTTCCAGAATTGTGGAGGATGTTACAACTGCAACATGGAGGCCAACTCCATATTACCACCCATGGTTCTGGAATGGGAGGTCGGGTGTCCACATACTTTGGCCATACAGTGTAGACCTTATCAGTCTTTTGCTGCTCATGATGATAGGAGGGAAAAAGCAATGTAAGCAGAGGGGTGACCTTATCAATCTTCTGCTGCTCATAATGGTAGGAGTATAAAGCAGAGTAAGCAGAGGGTTGACCTTATCAATCTTCTGCTGCTCATGATGGTAGGACGAGGAAGCAGAGTACGAAGAGAGGTGACCTTATCAGTCTTCTGCTGCTCATGATGGTAGGAGAATAAATCAGATTTAGCAGAGAAGTAACCTTATCAGTCATCTGCTGCTCTTTCACTGCCCAGTCAACAGGCTGGGAGAGGACACCACTGTATTCTATAAATTTAATGGCTCTCACCCACCTAGCTGTGCTGTGCAGCAGAGCTGTGTAAATGTCAGCACTGGGTAGACAGGAATGCAGATCCTTTGCCAAGGAAAACAGCCCCAAATATATATTTTTTTGTACATATTTAGTTGTTTTTCTGGAATCAAGCTTTAAAAATAAGAGAATCTTCCAGTGAAATGTGTTTTTTTAGTTGGCCGGGTTCACTTATGAAAGCAACTGATGAGAACGCTTGATATGAAAACCGCGGAAGGATTTCACCTCTGGTGACTCAATGGCAGGAAGCTCGTTATTGCCAATATCCTGTGTGGATTCCAACAGCCCCCAGCATGTCCACCGAAGAACATTCATACCTGTCCCCGGATACAGCACTGGGTCAGGCTCCTCACTCATAGCATGCTGCGCTACATTGTATCTCATCCCCGGATCTGTCCGTTCTATTCCCCTAATGCTGCGCTACATTGTATCTCATCCCCGGATCTGTCCGTTCTATTCCCCTAATGCTGCGCTACATTGTATCTCATCCCCGGATCTGCCATTCTATTCCCCTAATGCTGCGCTACATTGTATCTCCTCCCCGGATCTGTCCATTCTATTCCCCTAATGCTGTGCTACATTGTATCTCATCCCCGGATCTGCCATTCTATTCCCCTAATGCTGCGCTACATTGTATCTCCTCCCCGGA